AAATCTTTGCTATCTTCTTTTTCACAACCTCACTGTAGATGTCCTTTCTGAATCCGTCAGTTGCATTTAAGGAAATGAGATTCAACCCTAGCTGGTTGAGTGAGTCATTGAGTTGGTTCTTCCATAGTTAAGGTACCTTGGGATGTGCCGCGAGCAAGGATATACTTTTCCAAAGGTATTCTTTTACAATTTTTATGGAAATTTTTCTAGCCAGTGGTACCATTTTTGCAAATATAAGTCTAGCCAACGGTACCACTTTCAAAACAACCCCCCCCCCCTCTCCCTCCTGCTTTAATCGATGCATGAGGTAGTTTTTTTTCCACTTTTTTGTTTTCGGCCAGCCCCGAAATCTACGTCACAGGGCATATAATTTCCATATAAGTAGGTTTTTAGTACATTTGTAATCCAAAGTGTCCTTGAAAATATCCGAGGTACGGCTTATTATATGATTATGATTATGATGAAAATGTTTATCATTTTATATTATATTTCTATCACAGATTATAATATGAAATTTTTATTCAATATGGCCTAATATTGTACATCATTGCTTTTTAAAGGCATCATGTCCCGTCGGTCAACAATTCAGAGTTAACCTAACGATTCTGGGGCGTTTTTGATTAAGAGCACGTGGAGAATTAGTTTTACGTTTTCAATTGTGTACGTAACAATAATTCTACACAATTTTCTTATCAGAACAACCCTTGTAAGAAACGTCAGGCTGAGATTTGCCCAAAAAATAAGAAACAAGACAGGCTGAGGATCAACAAAAATCGAGAAATAAAATACAAGAAAAAGTTAAAAAATCAAAGAATAGAAACAGAACAGTAGGCATTGATCAGCAAAAAAGCATTAAAACTTATTTAAGTTAAGCAAACTTATTTTTACAAAAAAGAAACAAGATAAACAGCAAGTAAGGCTGAAATTATGCGAAAAAATAAGAAACGCTAGGCTGAGACTGAAGCCAAATGTTCTTGTAAAAACGTATATTGTGTACACTCTTTTCTTTTTATGAGAACAATTTTATATGAACACGAGCCTCAAAATTGGTCAAAGGTTAAGAGCAAATTAAGAACAAGGTGCGGCTGAGGTACGGTAAATTCCTATTCTGAACAACGTTTTATCTTAAATGTGAGGATTTCGAGTTATACAGTGTATGGGTGCTTTTTCGGTGAATATTCAAATTTGTCAGCAAATTAAGGCTGTCTCACTCACTTTGCTGGCAAAAACGGGGGCATGAACACCACCCAAGAACGAAAAAGCTAGCAATCTCACCTTAATTTAAGAACAAATTAAGAGCAATCCAGCCTCAGATTTTCGAAAAAAATTAAGAACAGTCAGCCTGAACTTAAATTTCCTGGTTCTTATAAAAAAGAGAGTTCATGTATTCCTACGAATGGAAATTGAAATCATCACAACTGGAACACCGTGCTTTTGACAACTGCTCAGTCACAAAGATAATAATAAAGGTAGAATTATTACGAACATGACCTACTTATGCTTATGCAAAACATTAACCCAAACAATTTTACCAAAGTCACATACTTGTCAGTTTGTGTCAAGCATATTTTCACAGCTGTGTAGAGTCGACGTAGTGATAAACACTATCTGCAACCACTATCCTAAATGAAGCGAAGATTAATGATTTTTTTCATAAAATAATTTCTGTTAGAAACATACTTTTTATTTTCTGTTATAAAGAATTGCAAACAGTGATGTAATGCTATCAAAATAACAAGGGGGGCTCTTGCATATAATATTGCTAAAAATAATAGCAAAAATAGAAATTGGTTATATTTTGGCATTGCCAAGGGGGCTCGGCCCCCTGGGGCCCCCTAGCACTACACCTCTCGTGGCAAGTGGCAAAATGTTCCAAAGAAATGCGAAAGTGGTTTCTGAGTCAACCCTAGCTCGTGTTAAAGCAATTTGCCAATTGGTTTCTTTCTGGACACATTTGAAAGTCGGATTTCAAAGAAATATTTTAGTCTTTCGCAATCGTGAAGACCAACTATTTCCGGTGCTGTAATCCTAGAAAGATTTCCCACTTCTTTGCGGTAAGTCTTTTCAGCGCTTTTCAAACCACTTCTAGGAAATCAGTTTTCAGGATATGATTTTTCAAGGGAGGGTCAAGCTCGATCGAATTACTTTGGATCTGATTTCAGCCAAAAACACAAGTTATGTCTGAAAGCACTGTAAATACGACAGTATTATTTTTATGCAAGAAACGAGCTGTGAGAAACGAAAGCTGTAAAGTCTGAGAAATATAGGAAATTTTGGACGCTACGGGGGTGCATCCGGGACTTTGAGAGAGACGAGGACAAGGAGGAAGAGGAAAAACTGAACTACGAACGAACTTTTGGTACTTTGTAAATTAAATATGATATGTTTTGTTTTGTTCAAAGAAAATTCGAAAACCGTCAGACGAAGAGTTTGATTTATGGTAGATTCTTCACGCGGCCAGGAGAGAATTTACTTTACAAAATAAGAAACCCTGTGTTTCGATATTTTTTGTCAATCTATTTGACGCCTTGGCATAAAACTATAGACACCGAAATTACAAATTATTCACAACCAACTCATAACAGAAAATTTGTTTCGAAAACGCTCAAATTCGATTCATATTCTGATGTCATATAGTATGAAAAAGCACTTGATTGGTTGATTAATTTAAAGAACACCTCGCGTTCGGTTCTACCGAGCCTGAAAATGGCGGAGCCGCGCAAACTGTGTACAGCCAGTAAAATTGATTTAAAGTTTCTTCGTGTTGCTGAAAAGTTAGAAATTAATTTTTCGGGAAAAGTTTCAATATCGCTCACTTAAGGCATGGCCTTACTTATATGACTCAATGTCTGAAACGGGGCACGTTTTTCGTTTGCCATTAGCATAGGATTTGCCTGCATGCAGGTTTATTAGTTTTAATTTGGAAGGCACTTTTCACAATGGTGAGGTTCTAGGCGTCAAAAAGATGTGACACGGCCTATTCACACTGCTCCGTGACCGTGACTGCTTCACGGTCATCCACAAAATGTCAAACCTATCCGATTTCGCCTTGCTTTCACAATACTTCGCTTTGAAAATGCAAATGAATTCGGATACTTGTGAATACGGAGCTTATTGAATACGCTCCGTTTTAAGTGTGACCCCTAAACCGGAGACATCTGAATACGCCAACGGTAACAACATACGTGTTTTCTGGCACACCAGATCTTAAACATTTTTGAATGGAAAACTCTTTCCAATGTTGCAACCTACGCCACTGATGAGAACCAAGGGAGGACCTTGAGTAGAAGGGGAACAGGCCCAGCAGCTTTTGGAAAAGTGCCTCTTTTTCTCTGATAATGCTGTTTCCTGCAGAGCCATCGCTAGCTATTGTGCTTATAGGGGTTGCTCCGATTCCATCTACCGAAAAACTCGGCTCCCCAGTTTCCTTTTTCCTACCTTTCCGTTGAGTTGAATTAACACATTGAAATGGTCCTCCAGCCCAGCTCCTTTATGAGTGGTTGGCTCGGTGCATCAAAACTGCTGCCAGATACGATACGAGCATCCCGGTTTTGTAGTTTTTGTAAGCGTTGGTTTCGGTAAGACCACAACAGCCCCACACCTAACAACAATAGCGAAAATTTAGCTCCACAATACTTGTGTACATGGTCTTCAGAGTTTCTTTTGGCAGATAGGATTCTGCATGCTTCAAAAAGCCTATTCCTCTGGAGACCTTGGGATAAATTGTTTTAGTGTGTTCCTTCCAATCTAGTATGTTATCGATCTGTATTCCAAGATATTTGGTTTTTTGAACAACATCCAGCTCATTGTGCCGAAGAAAGTGTTCCCATTAGAATCGGGAGACCAACGCAGACTGACGCAGACTGTCGCAGACCGTCACCGACCCTCTTACGATTTTAAGGGAACCAGGCTTTACCAGAAAATCGATTAAAACCGTCAAAAAGCGTTCCGCCTTTGGATATTTTTATTCTAAGAGTAAAGTTGTATTGAAAGGTAATAAAAATTGCTTCAATGAGTGCATTTCCAGCGAAATGGAAGCATAAAATTCGAAATTGTTCCGTCTTCTGCGGCAACCATGCTGCCACTTAAGGTGGTAACTTGCGCATCTGTCCCTTTACTAGTTCATCGCTGAGATCATTACGTCGTCAAATAAAAATAATAAAAGCCATGCTTAATTTTTTGATTATAATGTTGTTTTTGACTGCTTTTACTAAGCTTTTGTTGAGATATGCTACTTGTTAAAAAACAACCCGATCTTAAAAAGAATGAAATATTTTAAATTCTTATTTAGACTTACAGGAGGATAATTGTTCAAGAATCACAAAGTCAATATTTAGTAAACGGGGAGCAGGTCCCTTCTATTCTCGACATCAGAGTTTGCCTTCATTTTATTTCATTGCAAAATCTCCAACTCGACAACCTGGCGCTTGACAACCACCCACCCCCCGGATCGTGCATTCATTCTAACTTTAGGTGGAGTGACGAATTTTCATTATTCCAAGCTTGATTGATAACCACAAAATTTAATCAAACCAAGCTCACAGTCATTCAGAATTATTTTACCTTTACTTTCAGTTGAAATATTAGAGACATATATCTGGTCTGGTACCGAAAACCAAGACTTTCTGCTGGTAATAAAGTAGGCACTGCATTCCGAAATTCGCTTGCAGCACTCATTTTCACGCAATCACGCCATGAGTAATGCTGATTCACGCATTCACGCATAATAAAAGTTTGTTTCACGAATTAACGCATCGAAAAAACGCCGATCGGGCAATCACGCCTCAATTCCTGGCGCTTCCTATAAAATTTCCCAGAGACAGGCAAAGTTTTGCAAAAACGAAAGATCCGTAAATTGATTTCTTGTCCTTTGTTTCTTATTACAAGCATTTCACTTTAACATATTATTCAATAACTTTCTCCCATCATTGTTATCCTTCGACCAGGACTTTTTATAAAATTACTACGAACATTATGTCAAGACTTTTTTTCTGTTTTAGTTAACGGACAGTCTTCTGAAATTAGTATCAACCTATCATTTGCAACAACCGATACTGCAACACAGTCAATGACATCAAATTCCGCAAAATCTGGTGAGTCTTCAGTACTGACAATCTCTGGTGTTGTACAAAACGTTACCACGTCTACTGCACGTCCAGGCGAATTAACAACATTACCTACCGCGTCGTCTGCTGTAACTGCAGTGCTCCCAACCTCTGGTACTCTACAACAAGTTACCACGTCAACTGCACGTCCAAGCGAGTTCACAACATTACCTACCGCGTCGTCTGCTGTAACTGCAGTGCTCCCAACCTCTGGTACTCTACAACAAGTTACCACGTCGACTGCACGTCCAAGCGAGTTAACAACATTACCTACCGCGTCGTCTGCTGTAACTGCAGTGCTCCCAACCTCTGGTACTCTACAACAAGTTACCACATCGAGTGCAAGTCCAAGCAAGCTCACAACATTACCTACTGCGTCGTCTGCTGTGACTGCAGTCCTCACAACCTCTGGTATTTTAGAAGAAGTTACCACCTCGAGTGCAAGTCCAAGCCAGCTCACAACATTACTTACAGCATCGTCTGCTGTGACTGAAGTACTCGCAACCTCTAGTATTTTAGAAGAAGTTACCACATCGAGTGCAAGTCCAGGCCAGCTCACAACATTACCTACCGCGTCGTCTGCTGTAACTGCAGTGCTTCCAACCTCTGGTACTCTACAACAAGTTACCACGTCGACTGCACGTCCAAGCGAGTTAACAACATTACCTACCGCGTCGTCTGCTGTAACTGCAGTGCTCCCAACCTCTGGTACTCTACAACAAGTTACCACGTCAACTGCACGTCCAAGCGAGTTAACAACATTACCTACCGCGTCGTCTGCTGTAACTGCAGTGCTCCCAACCTCTGGTACTCTACAACAAGTTACCACATCGAGTGCAAGTCCAAGCAAGCTCACAACATTACCTACAGCATCGTCTGCTGTGACTGAAGTACTCACAACCTCTAGGATTTTAGAAGAAGTTACCACACCGAGTGCAAGTCCAAGCCAGCTCACAACATTACCTACCGCGTCGTCTGCTGTAACTGAAGTACTCACAACCTCTAGTATTTTAGAAGAAGTTACCACATCGAGTGCAAGTCCAGGCCAGCTCACAACATTACCTACAGCATCGTCTGCTGTGACTGAAGTACTCACAACCTCTAGTATTTTAGAAGAAGTTACCACATCGAGTGCAAGTCCAGGCCAGCTCACAACATTACCTACAGCATCGTCTGCTGTGACTGAAGTACTCACAACCTCTAGTATTTTAGAAGAAGTTACCACATCGAGTGCAAGTCCAGGCCAGCTCACAACATTACCTACCGCGTCGTCTGCTGTAACTGCAGTGCTTCCAACCTCTGGTACTCTACAACAAGTTACCACGTCGACTGCACGTCCAAGCGAGTTAACAACATTACCTACCGCGTCGTCTGCTGTAACTGCAGTGCTCCCAACCTCTGGTACTCTACAACAAGTTACCAC